TAGAAATACTGCAACTGCAACTATTTATGTCTTTATAGTTTTCTCAAATTGGCAACATATTGTCTTTTCAGTCTCATAAAGATAATTTACCTTATGCAATTATAAAAGTCTCGCATCATACTGTAATAATTTTGTATGGTACTGTTATATAAATCTACTATTATACTGCATTATTTTCTTTGTGTAGATACTGTAATTATACAGTCGAGTTCAGTACCATTTGCTCTTTCAGTTAGTTATTTAATATTTAAATGGTTTGTAGTACTGTTTTATGTTATGTACAACTTATCATGCCTGTTATAGTCGTTTATTTCTGTTTATTTATGAAAATGTAATCCTTTCATGGCAGTATGTAAACTCATATATAATCATTCCAGCCCTTGTTTGGCCGTGTATTTGTTGTTTTGATATTAAATAAATATGGCTCTAGATGGGGGTGGGCACGGTGCTAAACCGATTAACCTAATGGTAAAGGGACAGTGCTCGTGCCCCCTGTCACCTATACTCTTCTTCAAAATTGGGTACTGAACTGAGCAATGTCGTACTGTGAACTGCATGGTGCTTTTATCAACAACAGACGCAATACTTCCTTCTTGCTACGATGAACTCCGTGGGCTTGACCTGATCTCGAAATTAGTCACAGCAACAAGAATAAGTCATGTCCTAACTCACAGCAAGCAGATAATAAATTTAGATTACATTATTCTGAAATCTAATTCCATGTTGCTTAAGGTAAAAATTTTCAAACTCTACGCATTCTCGATCCATTTCCTTCAGGTGAACTATTGCGTGATTTCATCATTTTATTTTTTGTCGCTTAGTTTGTCGTAAATTAGAAACTAACACAGATTATAAGATTTATGATGGAAATTCAAAAGTTAAGTAAGATCTTTTGAAAGAGTTATATATAACTAACTGGTTTGGTTTGCTTTATTTAATTACGGCAGAGCCTCGAGGGCTATCTGCCTAAGAAGAGGGATGCCTTCGTGGAGAGCTTTCTAAAAGAAATTGGCTCGTATAACACATTACATACGGGAAAAACCACGAAAATGCCCATGCAGCCAGCCCGTTTCCGAGATTCGAATCTCGAACCAAACTACCACGGTTAAGCCCCTGGTGGACTATATAGGTATATGTAGGTGAAAATTAAATTTTAATTCATTTGAATGGCTTTGGTACGTAAACATTGCATGCAGTAAAGAGTATTGTTTACATAGTTGAAAGCTCTAGTTACGTTTTTTAAACAAAATTCAAATTGCTGATGAGAATTTCAATAATTTTTAAAATACCAGCTAGGGGATTACTCTCAGATCTCGAAAAAATTATTCGAGTATTTTCGTAAACATTTCTCTATTCTCAAGAAATTCCAGTTTAATCAAAATAGATAGATTTGCGTAATTCGACGCAAAACCTTTTCATAGTAATTCGACATTCATAGTAATTCGACGCAGGTTTTGCGTCGAATTACTATGAATGCCCGTTTCACTTTTCAAACTGTTGCCACCAAATATTATCGCCCTGTATTATATTTGAAGAAATTAAATAATGAAGAATCTGCATCAATGTATGTATGTTTCTCGCATTGTGATAAAACAATTGTACCTAGAGCCATCTAATTTTGAATGACGTACTGCAAATATGGGCATCTGGAAGCCCAAATTTAAAATTTGGAATTTGTTTTATTATCGATTTCATATTTTGTAAAATTTTAACGAATTTTTGATGAACAAACTCAAGGATTTCAAAGCGAGTCATGGCAACGTTCTACAGAAAAAACATTTTAATCTCCAGCGCGCGAGACTGTGTATTGGAAATTCTGAAGATATGCTCAATTTAAAATTATTTTGCGACATTGCTCTTGAACTGAATTTTATGGTTTAAGAGGGAAGAACATGATATTTTATAAATGAAAAAGGTAACACACAAAATGCTAAAAAAACGCCCTTTTGGACGTAATTTAAAATCTGAAAGCTTTCAAATTTTTAATTTTTATATAGTAAGGGAGAAATTAATGTTTTTATTTTTTTCAGCGAACCATTCCTTTTATTCAGACAAGAGAACATTATTTGTTTCGGTTTAACTTTTGCTTTCTCCTCAAGGGTACTCAATTCCTAAAATGTGCATAGTGACATGTAGCTCGATTTAAACAGAGATTTGATAAAATGCATTGTTTTTTACTATGACAGTTTTACTTTTTAACTAAGCAAACTTGACACACTAGTCTTCATATCATAATCTAAAAACCTATAGCATATAATAATAAGCCTGTAACAATAGTAACTGTAACTATTAGAAGGAACTATTAAAAGTAACTAGTAGAAGGAATAGTTGTAACTATCAGAACGAATTTTTTGTTTTTGTTAAAGGCAAGGATTGTAAAAATTAAGTTGTTATTAATTACTTCATGATAGAATTAAATACCGTATTTGAGGGCATATAAGACTCACTTTTTTTTCCTAAATTTGGTCTCAAAAAAGTTACCTGCGTCTTATACGTGAAGGTAATTGCATTCAATAATTGTTTATTTTGCTTTTACGAAACGTGAGAACTAAAAGAAACCACGCTATTGAAACTTTTTTCCTTGTGTGTGGCCGTCTAAATAAGGATGCCTCTTATATGCCGTCAAATACCGTAATTAGTACTACGTAAAAATGTTTCTGTAAATAAAAAATAAGTATTATTATTAAATGTCTGTGTTCAATGACGAACGAGCTTAACGGAGTATTATTTTCTCCTGCATATGATGACTATAACACATTGATACAGCAAGTTTAAAAGTGTAAAATTGAAGAAACGTCTTAGAGAAAATTCTTCAACTTCTCCGATTTCTTAACAAAAAAAAAAAAAAAAAAAAAAAAAAAAACTTTATGCTGCTAATTATTATAGCTTAACTTTCTTCTTTTAGTCCAAATGGCTATTAGAAACGGTGTTTTACGTGGGTTCACTATAAACGTCTATTTCACTTTTCAAAATTGATGCCACGAGATATCATCGTTATGTCTATGTCATCTTATATTTAAAGATATTAAATAATGAAGAATATGCATGTATGTATGTATGTTTCTCGCACTGTGAAAAAACAGCGGTGCCTATAGCCATCCAGTTTTGAATAACGTAGTCCTCCACCCGAACATGGGCACTTGGAAGCCCGAATTTTGAATTTCGAATTTGTTTTATTGTCTATTTCATGTTTCGTAAAACCTTAAAGGAATTTTTGACAGACAAACTGAACGATTTCAAAGCGATCCATCTCATGTATGGAAAAAAAATGTATGGATCATGTATGGAAAAAATGTATGGATGTATGGATCATGTATGGATCATGTATGGAAAAAAAAAATTATCTCCAACACGCGAGACTGTCTATCGCAAATTCTAAAGATATGCTGTTTTTAAATATTTTTAGCAAAAACCGACACTAGACCAAATGCTCTCGAAACGTCTAGGTAAATGAAAAAAAAAAAAAAAAAAAAAAAAAAAAAATGCCCTTTTGGGCGAAATATAATATTTTAAAGCTTTCAGATTTTTTTATAATAATCTGTCTCCACACATTGATTCTCAAGAGAGTAATTAATAAAATATTGTGATAAAAAAGAGTGATAATCGGCGTAGATGAATACTTAAACTGATACACTTCGTTAACAAGTACAGTTTCTCAATTCATTGTAAACAATAATAACGTAGTTTTATGATAAGCCGAGATACATTGCATTAAAATGCTTCATTACTGGATTTTTATATTTTTAAATGAATAAGGAAAATTAATTCTTAATCAATAATCTGAATTACATTACTGTTACGATTATTTAATGCATCGTTTTACCGATTAGTCTGAAAAATAAGAAAAGCAAATTCTGTAAATATAGTACAATTTTTTAAGTTTACTGGATTCTTAGTACTTATCTTAATTTTTACTCTTTTCGTTTGCACGAAATTTGTTCAAAATTCTTCTTACTTTGAAATCACACATTAATACTGAGGCAACCAACTCTCAAATAATCCTTAAGAATGTTATGTCTTTTTTTTTAGTCCAAAGGGATTTGTCCCTGCAGGACTATTGTTTTCGTTTTGCGATTTTGCATCGGACTCATAAACGTCGGTTCACTTTTCAAACTGTTGCCACAAAATGTTAGAGTCCTGCATTATATTTGAAGAAATTAAATAATGAAAAATCTGCATAAATGTATGTATATTTCCTCGTATTGTGATAAAACAACGGTACATAGAGTCATCGAATTTTGAATAACGTAATCCTCCAAACGAATATTGAGCATGTGGAAGACCAAATTTGAAATTTGAAATTTGTTTTATGATCGATTTCCTATTTTTAAAACTTTGAACGAATTTTTGAATTAACAAGACTCCAAGGGATTTCCAAAGCGAGCAGTGGCAACGTTTGTACAGAAAAAACACTTTTTATCTCCAGCGAGCGAGACTCTGTATCGGAAATTCTAAGCATAGGCTCAGTTTTAAAACTTATTTTGCGATATTGCTCTTAATTAAGCAACAATCTTAAGCTGAATTTTATGGTTTAAATGTGCGAAGAACATGGTATTTAATAAAGAAAGGTAACACACAAAATGTTAAAAACACCCCTTTGGACGTAATTTAAAATCTGAAACATTTCAGATTTTTTTTTTTTTTTTTTTTTTTTTTTTTTACGATAAATAATTCAGTGCATCTCATAATTACAATACAGATAAAGTCTAAAAAAATTTTATAGTATTGCATATTTTAGTTACATGCTAAACGTTTTACTTTTTTGTCTGGAAGGAAACAAAATGGCTGTTTTCTTCAAAAACTTATTTCACAAAACATATTATTAAAATGTCACAAACTACAGGCACATAATTCTTTAAATTTTCCATTTTCTGATAAAATATAAAAATAACCGTTTATGGAGGTAATTACCATTAAAAAACAACTTTATTTAAAAAAATATTAAAATAAATATCAGATGACAATAACAGTTAAAAAGAATAAATAAATAAATTACTTACATGCAAGATAAAAAGTCTGTCTTCTGCTCACACGTACGGTTACTTTTTTAGAAAGTTTCAAATCAACAGTCACCTCAGCATGCTGTTACGAAGAGCGAACGTAAAAATAATTAATCCAAAAATATACAAAGTGACAAACGATTTTACTACTCCGCTCTGATGAACACCGGGATAAGTCTCGAGAAAGAGAGAGAAAGACGAAGCGTGGACCGGCGTTCGAAAAGATGATGGGCGATTTGGCGAGTGAGACGAAGTCGTGGATGAAGGTTTCTGCCGAACACCGCGTGACCCGGATGATGGCTTGGAGAAGAGAGATCAACACGTGACCGCCGGCTACTCGCATCCGGGCGGAACTCAGATCATCCAAGATGAGCAAGGGGAGGGAAAGCAGGGGAGGGGAAGGTTAGAGAATTGCCGCCAGTCAAGAGCCGAAGTGGGTTAGGGGTAAGAAGGTTACGAAACCGAACAAGTTGAGTGTGTATGCGTGCGGAACAGTAGTGAAATCAACTGCACGGGTGCCCCCCTCTTCTACGAAGAGGGTAAGGAAAATATTCGAATTAAGGGGTCGCGAATGAGATGTCGTGAGCAGATAGGCTCCTTAAGGAAACCAGAACATGCTACAGGCCTTTGTTTCAATATTTTCAGAAGCATGATATTTCCTTGACATATTACGCGAATAAGAGTAAATCTAAAATAAGATAGCTGAGATTTTTATATTCCATAAATTCGTGTTTTCATTGAACATTTTTAAAAATTTGGCAAATAAAGGAAATCATTTTAATTAATTTTTTATAAATTTATGTTTTTATTCATTCTCATCTTTCGTGCCATTTTTATAAAATTCACATTCGGTTCATTTTTATGTTAATATTTCAGTCAGATTTATTTTTATAGATTGTTACGAAGGAAGGAGAATATTTTTATAAATTGAAAATAAATAGTTCATTCAATAAACGAAATATAAATAGATAAATGAAATAGGAATAAAGTATGAATAATAAATATAATAAATGAAATATGACATAATGATTATCTCTACAGAGGCTGTTCGCACATTTTTTAGACGACTTTGGTAAGCGGTAATAAAACATCGTTTGCAATTGTAAGTAAGACGTAACTGCAATTGTACTATGTTTTTAAAAGTGAAAATTATCGTCTGTAGCTTGAAAGTTTTGTTTTTATTCAAAATGGCGAATTTAACAAAGCAGTGGTTCGAAGGCTACATTGACGCTCTTTCCGAAGAAAAATATGCATACACCGTTATCCAAAAACGATGTGCGAGTCATGGTTTTGTGATATCTAAAGCGTCGATAGGTAATATCATCAACGAGAAAGGAAAAAAAACGTCAAATTTTAGCCTCAAGTGGGACAAAATTCCAAACAAGTACCCAAGGAAAAAACGGACATCTTCGACTATTGCAAAGGTACGTTGTTTAATGCTAAAAGAAAAATCCCCCTAGTGAAAGGACAGTTGCAAAATCATTAAAATGCTCGGTGTCCACTGTAAACAAAATGAAAAACGTTGATTTAAATCTTAAGAAAGCGAAAAAACGCAATGTGCATCGTTTTCTTCCAAAGCATATCGCTCCACGCAGGACGCGCTGCAGAATTCTATATGAGAAACACTTATCCAAAGAAAAATGGAAAACAATTGTCACGATAGATGAAGCATGGGTGTATATAAATGATTGTAAAAAAAAAAAGAGCCATTTATTATCATAAAAGGGGAGAAAAAAATTTAGGTACATGGTTCAAAGAATCGAAAGAAAGTTTTTTTAAGGGATTCATGATTGTTGCTGGTTTTTATTATAATGGCAAATTAAAAATAAAGAGAGTGCAAAAAAATGTCAAGATTAAATCCAAATACAATCAGGAACATATTTTATCGCCAATTTTTCTGAATGAAATACCATCGCTTTACCCACAGTGCCATCCATCTGTGAGACTCCATCAGGACAAAGCTAGCAGTCACACACCAAAATGCATTGTTAATTTCCTAAATGAAACGGAACAAAAAACTGGTATCAAGGCCATGCCCTTCACTGATATCCCTACTAAATCTCCCGATGTGTCACCTATGGATTTTTGTGCTTTCGAACTTTTAAAAACTGCATTATCCAAACGTTGTCCCAAAACCCTAACAGGACTCTAGAGAGCTATTCGGGAGGAATGGGATAGAACATCTCTTCTGCTACTTCAAAAGGCCTTATTATCCTGGAAATTGCGGTGTCGAAGGATAGTTCAGAATAAGGGATGTCAAATAGAACATTTAAAACACAAGAATTTTATGTAATTTAGTTTTGTGAATACAACACATATCGTCTAAAAAATGTGTGAACAGCCTCTGTACATATAATAAAAGAAAGAGTCTGTGTCCTTCGTTCGTGCAGCGCTTAAGCTAATAGACCCAGGCAACGGGAAGTTGGTTAATTTATTTATAAGGATAATTAATATTTGGATTAAGGGATCTTGCTTATTTCATTGTAATTTTGTTATATGTAATACACATTTTTTTTTTAAATTTGTGGGTTTTTTTTATGAAGTTGTTCTGCAGAGTAAAATTCTGCGCAGTTTTTAAATTTAACGTTTGGTATTCCCTTCAGACATTTTCCTTCTATTTAAAAGCCAGACGAAGACTGGCCGCGTAGCTTCTAGTAAATAATAAATGAAGTATGATAAAAATTATGAAGTATAATGAATATAATAATTGCGAAGTATAATAATTATGAATTCCAATAATTAGTATGAAGAATAATAATTATGAATTCCAATAATTAGTATGAAGTATAATAATTATGAATTAGTTCTAAGAATATATTATGAATAGTAGGTGAATAATATTATGAATTAGTATGAAAATAATTATTATAGTTAGAATTAGTATGAAATCAATAAATGTGATATAAAATTATGAATAATGAAATATATACATGAAATATAAATGAAATATAAAAATTTTATTAAATATAAATGAAGATAAAGAAAAAAATTGCAATGGAAAATTTAGCTATAGAAACACCTCAGGAGAATTTATCGTTGAAAAATTTAAAATTATATGTAAATATCATATGATTGCTTCGCTTCTCAATTTAAGCTAAAAAAAATCACTTCTACCTTTTCTTTCTCACACAGTTAATCTTTACTATTGAAAGATCTTTGAAACTTCACTTAGAAGGAATTTCAACTTTAAATATTCCACTCTCTGTTTTCATGTTTCACTTTTAGCTGTAAAATGGTATAAACAGAAGACGATCCCATATAAAACGTATATATATGTGTGATGTATCAGCTTTTGTCCGGAATAAATAGATTGGTGAAGAATCATAGATGTAGTTGTAACTTAAATTATCAGACGATAAGTTTAAAAAACAGGATCCATTTATTATATCAGGAGAAATAGCAGTTACAAAATCATATTTCCGGAATAAATAAAAAAGAATCACTAATAACTTTTTGTATGAAGTTTACTGCATCGTTACATTTAAGAAAAAGCCCTCCGATATTCCTTTGCGAGTCCTTTTATAGCCTCTGGAAAGGCGGAGCTTCCAAGAAATGACGTCAGCCTCGTCAGCCATTCCAGTTCGCTTTAAATATTTCCAGAACATTCTATAACTGTACGTGTAGAAAAAGGCGGGAAAAACCTTAACTACGGGGCTGTGGATTTAATTCCACGTACTTTCAAATAAGAGACCGTCGCCATTGAAAATGAAAAGTACATACAGTTAGAATTTTAAGTGTATTCTTGACTATGGAATTTTATTATTACAAATATATATATATATATATATACACTCGCACACACATAAAGACTTGCAGTCTATATGTTACTAGAAAATTTCATCACATGCATTCGAAGATATTTTGGATGCAGTTAACAGAAAACACAATTAGAAATTTTGCAATAGATTTTCATAATTTTTTAAAAATCGATGTTATGATTTTCGTGCATAAAATGACATTGGTATCGTGCTTGTCAAGTTGTCGACGATTTACATTTCACATAACGTATTTTCCGGCGTATAACGCAGACCTACAATTTCAAGCTACATTAAAAAAATTTTTTTTTTGTATATTCGCCATATTACGCGCACCCTTTTCTTTACGAAGAAACCTGAAAAATACCCGTGTTATGCTCTTATGCTTCGAAGTCATTCATTCGAAGATTTTTTCCATACCTTCGAACAAGAGTACTATGCTGAACTGACAAACGATAAGGGAGAACAGTATGTGTATAGGGGGAAATACTTGATCGAATAAATATTTCTGCAAGAAGGGTAAACTAAATTCAGTGTAGGCGTGCACAAGAATGTTATTCTAGGGTTTCTAGAAAGGACAGACATATTTTGGGGTAAGAATGCACTTCTGAGCCGAATGAATTCGCGGAATTATTATGAATTCAGGTGTTTTCTCTGAACGAATAAAAGCACAATACGTAAAGGAAATTATCTGATAATGCAAAATTATCCGATAATGAACATTTTTAAGCTCATAAATTGTGTCATGTCTTTTATATAAACAGCATTTAAGTACATGCAGAAATCTTACTTCTGTAAGCTCCTCTTTTCCTCATTTTTAAATATATCATTTTTATATTTGGCGTATTACATGCACCCGTGAACTTCGATCTTACTATTTGTATTAAAAAAATACAATATACTCCGCAATATACGGTATATCTACTTTTCACATTTTGAAATTTTTTTCTATAAACACAATTTTACATATAGAAATATCTACATGAATATATAATTGAAGAGACAGCTTTAAACGTCTTTAAACTGATGTGTTCTTACAAAAATTACACCAGCTATAAACCAGACTCAGATGCGGCACACTAGTCATCGGTACAGTAGTCCGACCTGGTTTCGATACTAGGCAAACGGGCCAGTTTCCCTTAGAAAGTTTTCCACGAAGGCATTCCTCCCTTTAGGCAGATAGCCCTATAGTCTGTCTCCCTGGCTGACTCTAAAGGGGCAGCTGTTTGGCTGACTGCTGACAGATACGTGACAACTGGCTACAAAGTTTTGTTGAGCAGGATAGGTAAAATTACTTTTCAAATGCTCAACTCATCGCGCTGTATAGAAAGAACTTAATTTGTAAGGTATTTTCTCCCTCCTTTCAGCGTGCCTTCGTGGTGTAATGGTTAGCACACTGGGCGCGTATTCGAGAGGTTCGTGGTTCCACTCCCGGCTAGGTCATTGCTCATTTTTAATGCCTCCTGCCTTAAAATAACCTAATAACTCTACAGTGGCGCCCGATTTAAAAGATGGTGGATAATGATTCTTCACCACAAAGATTTGGCATTTGG